AATTAATTAAATTCTAAATAAATTAATAATAAAATTTTTTAACTAATATTTTAAAGCATGAATTAAAAAATTCATAAAAAATTACTTTATTTATAATTAATTCATTTTAAGTTAGGTATAAACTTTATATTTATAGGCACGTGTTAATTTTAGCTGAGGCAACAAAGTTTACTTACGGACTAATGAGATCGATCTTTTCCTCTTAAAAGTCATTCGGAAAAAGAGAAAAAAAAAGGATAAAAGTTTAAACAGAATTATGAAAATCAAAACCTCCTAATATTTAAAATGTACATTACAATTATTTATTGAATAAATTTTATTTAAAAATTCACTAAATAAATTATTGTAATATATGTCTTGAGTATCAGAATGCTTTGATTTTCTAAGTTCTCAAATTTAAAAGCGTGCCCACACTAATTAAAATGAAAATCTATGATCAATCCTTCACTTTATTGTTTATAAAAGCGTTAGTTATTCAACTTACACTATAAAAGTTTTGCCCCGCACCTTCTCAATTTAAATGAAAAAAAAAACCTAAACATATCATAAGTTAAAGCTGATGGAAGCTGGCCATAGATTTTCGCCCACTGATTAATGCCTTCACCGTCTAGTCATTTTCACTTACCGATGGTCACATTTAAGGATTGCTCTTTCATTTCTTCTAAACCACACATATGAAATAGCTTACGGAAATCCGCTCAACCAACAACCACGTTTAATCTAGCGATAAATCTCCACGGACTGCGTCAGATTCGTTTGGTTAAATATGGTTATTACAATTTAATTTATTGAGATGATGTAATATTGTTTAAATAATATTAATTTATTTTATTTAATAATTAAAAATAACTAAAAAGTTAAAAAATAAGAGTAACAATGAAAAGGAGAAAATTTTGAGATTAAAATTTAAGACTCATATTATTAAATGGTTTTTTTAATCTATATATGAAATATATATGTTAAATTTTTTTTATTAAATTAGTTAATATGTATAATATTATAAATTTATTTGTTTAAGCGAACCCATTGCCCGTAGTTCACACGGTATCGAATTCTCTATGGAAATTTATTTGTTTTTATAATCTACATTATATTAAATTTTGAATGGTCAAGTGGCTTCAATCACTGTTATAAGGTTCATACCCCCTCCTTAAAGGTAACGGTTCGAGTTGACCCCAT